CACCCCCACGAAAATAAGTAATTTATTTTTTTTGTTTTTGCACAGCATAATTTAACATGAGTGCTACTATTTTCACCCCCCAGTCTTATTTCCCCACCCACCTTATCTTCCCACCCACCATATAACTTTGAAAAAAACACAATCCTATTTTTACACCCAACATTATTCCTAAAATACCCTTTAATTATTAATTCAAGCAAATTCTCCTTACTTCCATTCAAAGCATGCTTGAAACCTTCAACCCCCGTCAATCAAAATGTGGGATCCTCTGTAAAGTATTATTAAAAATTAAAATAAAAAATAAAAAAATCGCTCTCAATGTTCATCTTCTCTCCACCGAACGAAAACAATAACGGAGAGAAATGCCAGAATTAGAAAGAAGACGAAGAGCAAACTGAGTAAATGGAACAGAGAGCTTGTGCCCTTGGGTTTAGAAACTGAGGAGAAATATGAAGGAATTGGATTAGACTCAGTTGGAAATTTTGAAGCTTTATTGGAATTTTGATTTGGGTTTGGTCGGGATGAGGGAGAGAAGGGAGGGGTTGGGGTTTGACAAAGATGAAGAAGAATAGGTCTTTTTTTATTATCTTTAAGTCCTTAAAAGTCATTTTACAAATGGATGAATAAGGTGGGTCGGGAAATAAGACAGGTGAGTGGAAATAGCAACACTCTAAATTAAATAGAATATTTCTTGAATAAGGTTGCAAGCAAAACTCCAACTTTCTTAAATTAATGGATTAATTCAGGCCAAAAATATAATCTCAATTGAGATGAAATTAATTAATTTCACGTGGCCAAAGGGAGAATGATTTCCGCATCAAAAGCCAGACCTTTTATATCAAGACTAGATTACTAATCCCCATGTCCAAACAAAGCTATTGACTCTTTGAAGGGGTACAAAGCAACTAAACAAAAATATATAATATTTATTCTTCAAAACACAGCATTTCTTTTATTCTATAGCCATCCCATTCATATTCATGATATGACATGTGCACTGGAACAAACGCAGCAATTCATAAATTCCATATAAATAAAATATAATTTTTTAGAGTTTACCAAAAACCAAAATAAAATATAATAAATTATCATGAGGGCTAGACCTTTTGTTGCCATTGCACGAGTCTTCAGTCTCCACTGACAGTGGTCTCTCATGATCATCTCCTTTCGACAGCTGCAGGTCCAAAAATCCAAGTCTTTTCTTATACACACTTGACTTTTAAAATGCAAGTAAATGTTATAAGGTCACTAAAAAATAATGCAGACCCAGATATGAAGGAACGTGACAGTTTATATAGTTCAAATGTACAAGGCGCTTAGGAAACAAGTTTGGGAAAACTTTCCAACCTGTACTTCAGTTTTTCATTAAATTTGTTAGTCGAGTTCTGGGCAAGGTCCAACTAGAGATTGACAATTCTCTCTGGATTAGGGTCTTTGCGGGGTTTCGATCCTAATGCGTTATAAATGATACAAATTGGGTATGGGACGGGGTTTAAGGAAATTTTTGGGTATAATATCCGGGGCGTGGCGGAGATGATATTTTAATCCTTAACCCGAACCCTCTCCTTTTGTATTGTCTGTTAACCTAGTATAATATAATCTCACTTATGTTTTTCTTGTTCAAAATATTATTTTTATTCGTGTTTTTATATTGGGGTGGAGCAGGAACCTGTTCTAATATAATCTAATCTCATCGATTTGAATATTAAGGTTATGAAGACGAGAATGGGGAAGAAACTTAATGAAATTGGGGATGTGAATGGCCACCCATCTCTGATTAGCCCCATTGTTATCCCTACCTCCAAGACGAAGCAAACTAATTGGTCGTTCATAGACCTGAAAAGTGTAGAACAACAAATGCTAGGAATTACCACCTTAATAAACCAGTTAGCCAATTATGAAATTTCAACTTCACCCACCTTAATAAACCTTAATAAACCAGTTAGCCAAGTATAAGACTCAAGACTGTCAGTAAAGACACGTTTGTGAATAGCAGAGAAAGAGGCAAATAAAATGGCACACACCATGAATTGTGTCATCTATTTAAGTCTTCATAGTTAACGTGGGAGGAGGTGGATATAGGATAATTAAAACGAAATAAATAAATAACACAAGTTTATTATTATAAACATACATACAAGTCTATCGGGAGAAGTGGGAGGTCTTCTAGTTGACAAATTCAAGATCTGATCCCAAGGTTTCTCTTGTTATAGGATTTCGTACAAGGCTCATATTCCACCGGGGAAGATCATGTCAGAAAATTGTTATTTTATTTGGTTTTCTAAAATAAAAATAGACCAAATTGGATCTAGGTTTAAATGCATCGTATAATATATAATTATATATAGTGTGATGCCCTAATATATCTATATCTTTTGTCGATCGATTCATTAGTAGTTAGTTCTCAATGTGAAATGACTTTTGATGATCCAGCTAATTAGCAAAAGTCTAAATGCAAGTCATATACAACGGTGATTAAGTGCTAATTAATTAGTAAATTGATATGATGTTAACCACTCGTTTCGGCCCATACTCTACATTGTACTTCATGATCCAAAACATTTATTTTGAAGTTCTCATTCAAAGATCAACTTTTCAAAATTCGCTAAACAATAAATAGACGAAGCATTTTTGATAAACAATATGCACAATAATAATAAATTGGCTAACTAAATCCCTTGAAGGGAACTTTTTGCAACGATAATCCTTGATTCAGTACATTAAAATAAACGGTTCATATCATGATGATTACATTATAGAGTGCTCAAGCGAATATACAGAGTCTCTTCTCAATATATATAATATGAGCATTTTATAGTGATGTATCAACATTTGTTGTATCGTTCAACTCTTAGGTTCTCTTTCATTATTCATGCAAAAAGTTAGCTAAGCCGAAAATTGTTTTGCAATTTGATTATCCACATTTTTGTTTCAATTTTATCTAACAAACTGCGCTTTTTGGGTACATTTTAGATGATCATATAAGTCTGATCTAAATGATTTTTTTCAGGAATAAAAAATGACCTAAAATGTAGACGGGTCCAATCGTTGAAATATATTGTTGAGTAGCGCTAGGATGTGTGTTTTTTTTTCTTTCAGAAGGTCATCTTTGATGTAGAAAAACTCATACGTATATATGGTCATATATAGTTAGATATATTACTAAATGGTTTCTGATTTATTTGATTTTAAAAGTATGATATCTAACAAATGAACAGTTTATTGATCTACCAAATAAAAAAAATAAAACAATAAGTCTCTGATTAATTCTAGAGGAATATTAAAAAAAGTCTGAGAGATGTATGAAAATAAAAAGGACGACCAATGTTATGCAAATAATTTATAAGAAGATGGTCATCATCACTTTCATATACATTGCATGTACATTCATTCGTGTATTTATGTACATATATATAGTATTAATCATACGTATTTTGGTACATGTATAAATACGTATAATAAACATAATTAATGAAAATGCTTTGCATGAATTAATAATAATGTGATGTGCAAGGCATGGCCAGAACGGCGTTAATTATTATGAACTAGATGTTAGGCGGCTGCCTAAAGTAGGTTAAAAGGGTTTCCAGGTCCATAGGCAATACATGCACATTTTTATCATTCCTGTTGAAAGTGCACCGCTAGGTTAACGGCTACAGTAGGCTGTAGTTAAAAATCAAACCTATATATTTAACTTGTTTTAAATATACTCAAGTATGTAGTAACTTATTAAAGTCCAAAAAATTCTAATTCTTTATGAATTTAGGTGCAAGACATCAATAAAAATTAATACACATTAAAATATGTACACTTTCAATTATATTGTTGAACATATTTTCATTTTGATAATATGTGTTTATTTGGTTGCATTTAATATATATTTGTTTTATGCTAAAGCTTATTAAAAAATAGTATTTAGCCATGTACTCAAGGTATTAGGTTCGATTCCCCCTCCCCAATATCGATTGTATAAAAAATAAAAAAAAACCTTATTGAAAATTAGTCAATAGAATTATGAACTATAGCGTGATTTATATGATTTAATGTATACTTTTATTTATAGAAAGACTACAAATTGTAAGTACAAAAAAAAATGATTATTAGATTTTTAAGCTAATAACTTTAGCTAACCTACCAATTAAAAAATTCATGGTTATGTCCTTGTTTTGCACTTTATTTACTTACATCTAGTAAACTACCACTCATGGCTTCGCTTTGAAATTAAAGAGTTATTTTTCTTTACAAACCAATCACGGTATGATATATATATGTAAAAAAAACTCATTAAAATTATGAAAAGAAAAGCTTCTTCTACACACATGTGAGATTGTGATTTGTTTGTAAGGAGGAATGACTTCTTAAATGTAAAGAGTCAAGTATTTTCCTAATAATAAAGGTTTTACAAAAAAAACTAACGAATTCTTAATTTGTTGAAGAATGTAAAGTCTCACGTTGGAAACTTGACAAAATAATATCTAATGTATTCATTTCCCCACACCTACCGGACTATATAGAATCGGTTAAGTTTATGATAGTTTCGGTGATATAATAGTGGGTCACATATCTATCTGTCTGAAATCATAACATAGTTAATTTGCTTTCTTTTTTAAATTTATTTAATGAGAGCAAATGTGACCCTTTTTTCTTTGTTTTTGAGGGGAGCAAATGATCATTTTATATTCATAAAAACAAAGAGTATAGTTTGGACTTGGGTGGGCGGGGTTGAATCGACTTTGCGCCTTGATGAGCGCCTATTTTAATATGTATCGAAGTGTCCAAGTCAGTGGTGTTATATTAAAATGGAATGGGGATTCTTGTACTCTTTAATTAATGGAAGTGAAATTAAGGGCCCAATTAAAGTCAAAGCTTAGATGCGTCCTTGTGTGTCTAATAATAAGTCTTTGAGACGGGAGAATTGACTTCGGTGCCTCAAAAGCAGCATTAAAAGAGAAAGAGAGAGAGAGAGAGAGAGAGAGAGAGAGAGAGAGAGAGAGAGAGAGAGATTCTGCAACTTTGTCTTACTTCAATGGGGAGAGAGAAGGAGATGGGCTTGGATATTGATCTCTCACTCAAGATTGATTCTAAACAAGAAAAACAAGGAGAAGCCGGAGACCAAGGCGAAGGCGAAGAGGAAGAGGAAGAGGAAGATCACAACGACGACAATGATATTGAACAAGGAGCACAACAAGAGAAGGAGGATGAGCAAGAACCAAGAGCACAGAATAACAACCAAAAAGCAGCAGAAGCCGCTGCTGGGGAAGTTGAAGATGATGCCTCAGTAGTAGAAACATCTTTGGAGGAGAATAACATGAAGACGGATCAAGAGGTACGTATAAATTGAATTTTATGTATAAACATAGCAACCTTGTAAATTATAATTATTATTTTTAATATATAATTGGCGAAATTAACTAACTACTATTATGTATATAATTAATTTATAACTAGCTATGCGTTTTACAAATGGAGATGAGCCGCATGAAAGAAGAAAACAAAGTTTTGAGGAAGGTCGTGGACCAAACCATGAAAGATTATTATGATCTCCAAATGAAATTTACGGCTCTTCACCAAAGAAACCAAAATAAGGTACGTTAATCCCATTTTAATTATGCTGTTATTAATTTTGTTTTTGTTTTTCCGCCCTTTAGAGATGAATTATATATCAGGCCTGGCCTTGTTTTATTTATTATTTAATATAAAATTGAATTTCATTGATTTAGGATCCTCAAACCTTTCTATCACTTGATGGTAATGATCCCGATGCTGTTCAAGGACCCAAGACGATTCCAAAGAGATCTCCATTATCACCAACACGTGAAGATATGATGAAAGAGAGTCAACTAGGGTTGTCACTGAGGCTACAAACCAGCCCTAGTACCAATATTCAATTACATGGAAGAGAAGAAGAAGATGATGATAAAGAAGAGACCAACAAGAAGGAAGAATTGACAAGTTCAAGTCTTGCATCATCACTACTGCAGAACAAGCTTCAGCGAACCGAATTGGCCGGAATTTCGAGTCACGTTGCTTCCCAACCCAACAGAAAAGCTAGGGTTTCGGTTAGAGCAAGATGTGAATCCGCCACAGTGAGTATAATTAGTTACTTCTTCTATACATATACGTTGAGTATATATAGCTTCATCTTCATGCATATAATTATTGTAGTAATTAAGATAATAAATATTTCAGATGAATGATGGGTGTCAATGGAGGAAATACGGACAGAAAATTGCAAAAGGAAACCCATGCCCACGAGCTTATTATCGTTGCACAGTAGCTCCTGGATGCCCAGTTAGGAAACAGGTAAATTTGCATATAAATTAAGTATTTAATTAGTAAGATTAATGGCATTGAATATCGATTTCTTTTTGTCGATACTTCTTCTAAGAAATGTTGTTCACACTCCGAGTTTATCATTTTGCACTCATTCTACGAGTGAGTATAACTGTGCAAAATAATATGCACTTTAGACTATAAATAGCAGTAGATTATCTTAAATAACATAGATAAATAAAAAAGTTTTAATCTCTTTTTGGATGTTTTGTTTGGTATACTATAGGTCCAAAGATGCCTAGAGGACATGTCCATACTCATAACAACATATGAAGGAACACATAACCATCCACTTCCTGTGGGTGCAACAGCCATGGCTTCAACAGCTTCTGCAGCAGCTTCATTCATGTTATTAGATTCAAGTAACCATCATCTTTTAGATGGAACAGCCTCTAATTACACCCAAGCATCCCTCCCTAATTACTATAATGGCTTTGATCACAGGATGAACCCTTCATCTCATTCCTCATTTAGAACCATCAATCCTCATGACCCTTCCAAAGGAATTGTTCTTGACCTCACAAACAACTTTTATGATCACAACAATACACCACAAAACATTCCCATGGGAAGCTCCTCGTCACACTCATCAGCGCCGCCAGGTTTTAGTAACTGGATGATGAGCACAAGCAGATCTGCAAGTAGTTATCAAAACCCTAATTCTATAACCAGCCATCTTTTGGCTAACAGCACTATTTCCAGATCATCAGGAGTTGGAGTGGAAGATCAGAGAAGTTGGAGAGGGGAAGAAAATAATATGTCATTGGCTGAGAATGTGACTGCCATTGCTTCAGATCCTAAATTTAGGGTTGCTGTTGCAGCTGCTATCACATCCCTCATTAATAAGGAGAACCATACAGCTAATCATCTTTTTGGTCCAAGGGATGGAGGAGAGAATGGTAGTTCTGCTAGCAACAATTGGGCCCTTGATCACCAGTCCCTATCAGCCAATGGTAAGCCCATTCGCAAAAACAGCTTAGAATAATAAATCTTAATACTATCATCATTTCGTTTTTATGTAATCTTAATAAATACCTTTGTGCAAAGAGAAATTTATGGGTATATATACAAGAACTATATATGTGCCATTTTCTTTCTAGATTTTGGTTCTGTTCTACGTAATAATTAAAATTAATACTATATGTGATGGAGTTTTTCATGTAATAAAATATTATCACATTCTTCCCATGCATAAGCATAAATCTGTAATATACAGAAGGGGGAAAAGAAAAGTAAATTATCACATCTGGGTACATCTCTTAAAGCGATTCATTAATATCCAAAGAGTTCATTTTGAGGTGTAAATTCAAGGATTGTACTTAAAAGAGATAAGGGTTAAATACTTTTTTGGAAATTGGATTTTATATAAATTTTCAATTTGGTCATTGAAAAAAATTGTAGCCAAATTGACCACTGTATAACACAAGGTTTACAATTTATAGATTTATACCGAATTTTTGTCATTAAGTGACTCACGTGCAGAGCCTTTAGTCACTGGGTTAAATGCTGTTTTGGTTATTGAGTTTTACACGAAATTTCAATTTGTTAATTGAGAAAAATATTTAGCTAAAAGCCTTGCAAATGCCAAGCTCTTGCACAAACTTCCTGTAGCCCTGACATTCAACATTAACACACACGATCATCCAATTAAATTTATATATAATATTGGGAAAATGGGGGCAAACATTATACATTAGAGAGCATTTTTGCTCACCATTTTAACCCAAAGTGTATCATCATTACTCTTTTCAATACTTGACACGTATTCATGAGCATAACCATGGTTGCACAAATACAAAGCAAACTTTGGTTAGGCCCATGAACATGTGTCAAGTGTTGAGAAGGGTAGTGAGGATACAACTTGGGTTAAAGTGGTGAGCAAAAATATTTCCTTATACATTGTGGTATAACATCGTGACAAAATAAAATTCATATCTGAACAATAGTGTCACAAAAAGAAACTCCATATCTTTAAAAAAAAAAAAAAAAAAACTCCAATCATAATCCCAATCATATCATACTACCAGATTTCACAAAAAAAAAAAGTCAAATCCATAGCTATGACAACGTTGCACATACTAAAACATTATTTTTTATGCTTCTTTCTACTAGTGTTTTCCTTCTCAAAACTAATAGAAGCTTTTTCTGGTGGCTTCCATAGATTTCATGCATGTTTACTTACCAACAATGGGTAATTTAGTAATTCTGGGATTGCATTCATAATTCAGCAAAAGAAGCCACTAGACACAAAGGGCCATTACAATAATAAAACGATCTAATATCAAAATTAAGACAATCTGGTGTGCCTTCACTAACAATCATGCATGATCGAAGAAACTCTGGCATAGGTATCCCAACTAAGTTTGCAAACTGATCATAACAATCAAATAGGGATAAAGCTTGAAAAAACCAAGCCTGAATACAAATAAAACTCTCACAAAAGAGAGGTGGAAAATTCTCACAAAAAGGAGAGTTGAAAACTAAACAGAAGACCTAAAGAGTCTATGTGACTTATTCCAAACATAAAGAAATTGCAAAAAAGGATGGTGGTGGAGATCTGATGCTTAGACGCAGCCACAGTATGGGTGGAGGAAAATCATAATAAAATGAAGACAAATAGAGAAACTTTCTGTTTGTAAAAATGAGGGAAGAGGGTAGAAGGGAGGAAGCAATAAGGGGAGAGGGGAGGAAGAATAGTGGCTTCCTCCCTCCTCAAAGTGAAAATGACATTAAGGGTGTTGTTTTGGGAAATGGGGCCTAGGGTTTTTTAAGGATCGCCAAGATAAGGGGAAGATGTACCTCAATTGGTTAAGACTCTAAGAGTATTTACTTTGCACCCGAGGCCCTAATTTCGATTCCCCCCTTTCTCAATATCGCTTGTATTAAACAAAAAAGTGAGTACTTTTTTTAAGGTTAATGTTTAATGATTATGTTAGTCAATTTCCCAAAAAAATTCCAACCCCTTCGTTTGGATGAAAGAATTGAAAATTACATAGAATTCTAAAATGACAGAATTTAGATTTCTATCATTTCAATTTCCGGCAATTGAAGATTTTAGTATTTGGATTTATATATGTTGAATTTTGTAAATGACAAAATTTTGTAAATGTATGGAAATTGTGAAATGACGCCTATTTTGATGGAAATTAAACTTGGGAATTTGATGCTCCAATTTCCACGATTTTTTCCGTGCGTCATTTAATAAATTATGCGCTTAACTTTCCAAACAAAGGAATTGTCAGTTTCTCCTCTTAAATTCCCGACTTTTAGCTAAATTCCGAGTTATTTTCCCTCATCCAAACGGAAGGTTGCTAAATTCCTAATTATTTTTTCTCATCCAATCAGAGGGAATGGATATGATGAGTATACAAATCAAAATGATTTTTTTAAAAAAATTTCTTGTAACTGTATTTACTAGAGGCGGTAATTTCCCAAAAATTAGTAGGTAGGGATAGGAAGGGCACAACTGAAACCACCCAAAATCCAAACAGAACCTAGCAGCTTCAGAAATACATAATTCTCAGTCGAGTGACAAAATTTGGGGCAACCCAAACTGGACGCGCCTCAAGGGTTTTGCTGTAAACGCAACACAAACTCTTCTTCTTCGACTCATGGGAAGCGCCACAGTTCAGAAAACAGAGGAGGAGCTCCGTAAGGAGATCGATGAACTCCAACGCCAACAGCGCGAGGTCTGTTTTTCTCTCTCTACAATTCTCTCTCTCTATATGTAAAAAAAAAAATATTACTGTTTTCACTTTGATGGCTATATGCTTGTTTCAAAATCTTCAGATTACGGAACGGCTTCGAGACCCTAGGGGACTTCGCAAGGGAGGCTTGGCGGCTGCTGGTCCTCGCAATTTTGCCGCTAATGGTGCTCGTCCGCGAGGCTTTACTCGACCCGTAATTTACCTACTTGCTTATTTCAATTTCAATTTCGTTTGTTCTCTATCTGTTTCCATGGGAACTAGTTACTGTGAAATTTTGCATTTTGTCTCAATAAAGTTAGGTTCATATAACGTTTATAATCATTTTTTTAAATCTAGAGTTGTTAATTGGGCTTTGTGTTTTGTCTCTTAATTTATTTAAATTGACTTTTCAGGCAGATAGGCCTGATGAGGATCAACCTCCTGCAAAACGCCGGCTTTCATCAGCTGTTGTCAAGGTAAGGCCCCTTGCATGGTGGTTAATCTAGTTATGTTCTTTTTTACTTCTTTTCTTTTGGTAGTTGTTAGAATTTTGAGAAATTAGAAAAAATCATGGTTATATGAAATAAAGGGTTTGTTCGTTCGTCTTCCTAACATTCTTTAAAAATCCTGATTTGGAAATAAGGTGGAGGATGGAGAAATCACTGAAAATGCTGAAGAGGCCAAGGATGTGAAGAAGAATGATACAAATGAGGAAGCAAAAGCTGATCAGAGTGATAGGAAGTTGCCCAATTCCCAACAAAGTGGCTGGTCAAGGAGGGATGGAAATCACGGAGCAGCAAAGAAGGTAACTTTGAAGTCTTTTTCGTCTCCCTGAGGAGTGTTGCTCTGGGACCATAAATCTTTATTTACTTTCATTGTTTTATTTTTTTGGTTAGGATTTTGAAATTCCAGCAGCAGATCATGTTCCAAGAGTATTGCCGAAAGAACAGGATCCCAGCTTGGTTAACAGGAACAAAAGAATGCTAGGACAACTTTTGGGGACTCTAGAGGTATGTGTGTAGTAGTTTTATTGGTTTTGATCAGCACCCAGTGGTTGAACTAATTTGTTTAGTTATGATGCAAACTTTTAATATGGATTATTAGTAAGAACATCTTCATTTAGGCTTTTTGTTCTTAAAAATTGTTATCAGGTTCTTACCAATATTTTCGATGGTTTCCGTATAGTTGGGAGTCTATTTGACGCATAAAACAATTACTCTCTCTCTCTCTCTCTCTCGCTCTGTCTGTTTTCATTTAGTTGTTATTTTATTCCTCTTGTCCATTCCTTAAGTCCCATAGGTTTAGTTCTGTCAAATCTAACCCATGTCCAGCTAAGAAAACAAAAAAATTGCATTACATCATATCTAAGCTATACAATATCTTTAGTGACATCAGCCCTCCAATCCCATAAAGAGGTATTGAATCTAACACATGTCCAGCTGAGTACCAAAAAAAATAAAAATTACATCGTGTCTAAGCTAACCTTGAGTGACATCAACCCACCAATCCCCTAAAGAGGTAAAATACAGGAGAAACCAAAGCCCATAAAGAGGTAATCAAACTTTGGTCTGCAAAAATCCATTCCAGACCTTAATTTTCAAAGATCCTTCTATGTCTCATCCGTTAAATAGATTTATAAAAAAAAGGTATTGCTCTCATGAGCTATAATTCCTGCAAGAATTCATGCCTTTGCACAGTACTTTAGCCTTTCAAGTGATAGAAGAGGGACTGGAAAAGGAAATAAATGGCTCTTCAATGAACCTTCTAACAGAAGACTTGCACAAAAATAAACCTAAGAACTCAAAATTCCAACTGTTCGGTCTATATGAATTTAAAGTTACACTTTCTCACAAACCATTCATATTTCTACAGAGATCAAAATTCCAACTCAATGGAAAGGAATTATAAACATGTTGGCAAGGGAGACAATATACCAGTTCAAGATCTTTCACAACTAGATTCTTCAGTCTATACTTTAACCACATGTGGATTTACTGCCTATTGGAATACCTAAATAATATTTACGTTAGCTACCCCTCTTCCAATTTACTTGTGAATTTATTCCCTCCCGACACCTCCTTGGCTACCAACGTAAATGAGAAAGGGGAGATTGGCGAGGAAGCCACTAGTTGGTCTTTTTAGTTTACAAACCATCAGTTTTCATTGATGACATATGTTTCCATTACCTGCTTTTATATGTTTATTATTATATAGGCATTCCATGTATGGTAGATGCAGGGCATCGTTTGCAATGATGTGGTGTCCAATGAAATAATGTACACCAATTACGGATTTAGGCGTTCACATGTTTAGGTCTTCCTTTAGACTTCACAGTATGCATAAGGGATGTTCTTCAACCCTTTACAGTCACCATATATTGAACAGATGAAGCA